AGTAAAGATACCACATCCACATGTTAAGAAAAGTAAATTATTATTAGGTAAAGCTGGAGTAATAAATGTTCTCGAAGAAGATACACCTCCACCACCACCGAAATCACCTGACAGGGATCCATTTAATATATCAAATGATACATATTATATGCCACGATCATCAGAAACAACATTACGCTTAAAAGTTGGAGGTGGTAACTTAATACAACACAGTACACCAGTAGTAGAATTGCGTGCACCTTTTGTTCAAACACATATGGGACCAATGCGTCTTCGAAATTTCCATAGACCACCATTGCGAAGATTCAGCCATGGCCCACTTGCACTTCCTGATCCACATAGTGTTCTACCCCTGATCAAACATATTAAAAAAAAGGCAAAACAAAGAGAGCAAGAAAGAATTGCATCTGGTGGTGGTGATGTTTTCTTTATGAGAACACCTGAAGATTTAACAGGAAGGGATGGTGAAATAGTCCTTATTGAATTTTCTGAAGAACATCCACCATTAATGAATCAAGTGGGAATGTGTTCAAAAGTAAAAAATTATTACAAAAGAAAAGCAGGAAAAGATCAAGGTCCACAAAAATACAAGTATGGAGAAACAGCTTATGCTCATACTAGTCCATTTCTTGGAATTCTTACGCCTGGTCAAAGCATACAAGCTGTTGAAAATAATATGTATAGGGCACCGATTTATGAACACAAAATTCCTGAAACTGATTTCCTAATTATTAGAACCAGGCAACAATATTATATAAGAGAAATGGATGCACTATTTGTTGCAGGCCAAGAATGTCCTTTATATGAGGTACCAGGACCGAACTCAAAAAGAGCAAATAATTTTGTAAGAGATTTCTTACAAGTCTTTATTTATAGATTATTTTGGAAATCTAGAGATACACCGAGACGAATTAAAATGGATGATATTAAAAGAGCTTTTCCTTCTCATAGTGAGAGTAGTATTAGAAAACGATTAAAACTTTGTGCTGATTTTAAAAGAACAGGTATATTTTATTTTTCTTATTTTTTATATTGTAAACTAAAGACGAACACCTTGTGTGTTAGGCATAAGTAATCTATATTTTAATTTGTTTACAGGAATGGATTCCAATTGGTGGGTAATAAAGCCGGACTTCAGATTACCTACAGAAGAAGAAATCAGAGCTATGGTATCTCCGGAACAATGCTGTGCTTACTTTAGTATGATTGCAGCAGAACAAAGATTGAAAGATGCAGGATATGGTGAAAAATTCCTTTTTACTCCTCAAGATGATGATGATGAAGAAATGCAATTGAAAATGGATGACGAAGTCAAAGTAGCCCCATGGAATACAACGCGTGCATATATCCAAGCTATGAAAGGAAAATGTTTATTGCAGTTAGCTGGTCCAGCTGATCCAACAGGATGTGGTGAAGGTTTCTCATATGTTAGAGTACCAAATAAGCCAACTATCAGTAAAGTTAGTGTAATGTTTTATATTTTAAATGTTGCACTATTTTCTTTTTTTATTTAATTAACATTTGCAATATAGGAAGAACAAGAAGCACAACCGAAAAGAACAGTAACAGGAACAGACGCAGATTTAAGAAGACTTTCATTAAATAATGCAAAGGCACTTCTTAGAAAGTTTGGTGTTCCAGAGGAAGAAATAAAAAAGCTTTCACGTTGGGAAGTTATAGATGTGGTTAGAACATTATCAACTGAAAAAGCAAAAGCTGGAGAAGAAGGTATGACAAAGTTTTCAAGAGGTAATAGATTTTCTATAGCGGAGCATCAGGAAAGATATAAGGAAGAGTGTCAAAGAATCTTTGATTTACAAAATCGTGTCTTGTCGTCCAATGAGGTTTTAAGTACAGACGAAGGTGAGAGTTCAGAAGAAGACAGTTCCGATATAGAGGAAATGGGTAAGAACATTGAGAATATGTTATCTAATAAAAAAACGAGTACTCAATTATCCCTGGAACGGGAAGAGCAGCAAAGACACGCGTTACGAAAAATGATGATAGATGAAGTCCAGGAACAAGACAAAAAACCTAAAGAAAAAAAGAGAGACGACGAGGAAGACAATAATCCTGTTAATAATTTTGGCACCCAACAAGGAAGATTACTTAAAATTTATCGTACTTTTAGAAATCACGAAGGAAAAGAATTCACTAGAGTTGAATTAGTTAGAAAGCCAGCTGTAATAGACACTTATTTGAAGATAAGAAATTCTAAAGATGAAACATTTATTAAACAATTTGCTACATTGGATGAAGCACAAAAAGAAGAAATGAAAAGAGAGAAAAGAAGAATCCAGGAACAATTGAGAAGAATAAAACGAAATCAAGAACGAGAACGTATGCAAGGTGGTTCCATTGGTACAAGCAACACTATCAATCCTATGTTTGATCGTAGTGGCACTAATACTCCTACCACTACATCCTCTACTAGTATCCTTCCATTTTGTAATTACCAATCAACTTCCCCAGCTTCTAAACATCCTAAGCCTGAAATTTCTCCTTCTAAACGTAAAAAACCTAAACTGAAACCAGATTTAAAATTAAAATGCGGCGCTTGCGGTAATGTAGGTCATATGCGAACTAATAAAGCTTGTCCATTGTATCAAAATAATGTAACTACTGCACCAGTTAATGTTGCTATGACTGAAGAACAAGAAGAAGAAATAGAGAAGCAACTTAATACTGATGATCAAGATCTTGTTAATGTCGATGGAACAAAAGTTAAATTATCATCTAAATTAATTAAGGTTGTACAATATTACACCAGAAAAATTTTCTATAAAAATATATCATATCTAATTTGAATATTTTTTTATTTGTAAATTTGTATTATAGCACGCGGAAGAAATGAAAAGACGTACTTTACTACTAAAAGTTCCAAAGGAAGCAGTGAATTCAAAGAAAAGAAGAAGAGCTACTGGAGACGATCACTGTGATTATCTTAAGAGACAACAAAGACCAGCCAATCGTCGTAGAACCGATCCTGTTGTTGTTATGTCAACTATGCTAGAAAGCATTCTAAATGAAATGCGAGATTTACCAGATGTTCAACCATTCCTTTTCCCAGTTAATCCGAAGGTATATATTTTAATTTCAAGTAAATGATTGATAAATACAAATGAATTTGACGTGTAAAATCAATTTATGCGTATGTATTAATGATTTCTTTAGGCTGTTCCTGATTATCATAAAATCATACAAAGACCTATGGATTTACAAACAATACGTGAAAACTTGAGATTAAAGAAATATCAAAGCAGGGAAGAATTTTTGGCTGATGTCAATCAAATAGTTGAAAATTCTACACTTTATAATGGACCAAAATCCTCATTAACAGTAGCAGCCAAACGTATGTTAGAAACATGCGTAGATAGACTTGGTGAAAAAGAAGATCGTTTAATGAGACTCGAAAAAGCAATTAATCCTCTTCTTGATGACAATGATCAAGTTGCTCTTACATTTATTTTGGATAGTGTTGTCAATAATAAATTGAAATCGATGACAGAAGCCTGGCCATTCTTAAAACCTGTTAATAAGAAATTAGTGAAGGATTATTATAATGTAATTAAACGTCCAATGGATTTGGAGACAATTTCAAAAAAAGTTTCAGGTGAACTGCAATATAATTTTTTATGTGAAATTATTGTTATAAATATATATATTTATATATATATAATATTTTGATTAATTTTGCACATATATATATTTTTTAAAGCTCACAAGTATCATAATCGCCATGAATTCGTTAGAGATATTGAACAAATTTTGGAAAATTGTACAATTTATAATGGAAAAGAATCTCCATATACGCATAAAGCTGAATTACTTGTTAAAGTTTGTAAAGAGACCTTAGATGAGGTAAGATTAAGAAAAATAAAGATGTTTCCTTTTTATTTTGTCAACATACATTCTATATTTTATAGTTCATTATTTTGACATCGTAAAATTAATAAAAACATATGTTGCAGTATGACGAGCATCTAACTCAATTAGAAAACAATATATTGTTGGTACAAAAAAGAGCAATGGAGCAAGCAGATATAGATTCTTCATGGCTTGGTCCAGATGAAGAAAATTATACTATCGTTGAACCTGAATTCAGAGGGGTAAGAGTCCTTGAATCAAATCTAGTATGATATTAATAGGACAATTGATTAATATCTAATATAATTAATATTTGTAATTAATTACAGAGTCAAACTAGTTCACCAGAAAATCCTTTTGGAAAGTCAAGCATGGATGATTTTGATTTTGTCGATGTGGAAGGTGATATGGAAAGTGATGCTGGAAGAAACGTACATTCAAAGAAAAAAGATGTACTTGAAGAAGGTAAAAGATATGTGTATTAAAAAATATTTTTAAACTTTAAATGATTAATATATTACTAACTCTTATTTATAATTTTAGATCTGCAATTTTCTAGTGAAGATGAATTTGATGAAGTTCCATTTGGAACAGATGAACAATCTGAGCATAATGAAATGGAAACACTTGAATTGAATGAAGTTAGAGAAGGAGGAGTAGTTTTGGCTGATGATGACAGTCAACAAGCTGCAGAAGCAATGGTACAACTAGGGAATGTTGGATTTTATATGGGAGAACAACAATTACTCCAACAAGGTATAGCCGACTTTAAAGAAAAAATAAAGATAGAAATTAAACAAATACCTAAATATTATTTAAAATAATCTGAAATATTTGTAATATTGTTCTCAGATGAGAGTATGGATGTCGATCCAAATTACGATCCATCAGATTTTCTATTGGCTGGATTACCAGCACGAGAAGATAAAGCTAATGCTGAAAATAATATTGCACAATGTAAGCAAGAAAATCAACAGCAACCTTTACAACAAGAAGAAGACGTTGGCGGAGATCTTTGGTTTTAAGTATATTAAAACTAAAAAATAAAGTATTTTATATTGTAAAAATTTAACAATCTTGTATAAGTTGAGCATTGTACATAGAAATCTGTGATATATTCTATTATACATATAATGGTATCCATAGATACAACAAAACATTCTGTTCTTTTGTAAATATTAAATTTCTATACATGTATAATATTGAGAAGCTATATAAAAAAAAAAAATATATATATATATATATATATATGTAATCTACTATTTGAAATACTGTGAAATCTCTTTTGCAAAATTGATACTACAAAATGGTATTGATTTTCAATGATCTCCTTCGCATCATACACAATTACAACTATAAACATAATATTATATTATATTAATATTAATGTTACAGAAAAGTTTTGTTTTAATGATTATTACAGTTGAATCAATAATTACAGAATATATGTAAATATTATTTTTTAAATCCTTTACGCTTCCAGATATATAAAGATAAAACTCTTAACAAAATGATGCAAATAATTCAAACAGTCAATCAAAATCAATTAAAAGATTATGAACCAGAGGTAATAATGACATATGTAATTAAAATACTTTTTCATTACGGAGAAACATATAAAATTGATGTGTGTGAATGGAAACGTCGACGAAAAATACGACTTGCACAAAATAGTTATCATCATTTATTGGAAGTATATATTCCTAGAAAAACAAAACAGATTGTACATGCTGTCATTAGTACAATTAACGAAGATAAATTATGGAAATTTGAGACCTTTTCTTTAGAGATAATAAATAACTTAATGGATCATGGCATTGATGGTTCAGTAGTGGTTCATACAATATTGAATTTAATAGAATCAATAGATACAAATATATATGACATCAGAATTATTATCAAAATTCTATATGAAATATTAGATTCTTACGAATGGCCTGAAACTAATGATACAATAACAGTGATAGAAAGACTTTTAAATTTCTTTTATAGAACTATAATAAATACAAATACAAATACAAATACAAATACAAATACAAATACAAATACAAATACAAATACAAATACAAATACAAATACAAATACAAATACAAATACAAATACAAAGGATACATTACTTTTTTCTAAAAAACTTAAAAAAGGTTTTGAAATATGTATCAGAAACATAATTAAACATTTATCCAATGATCAACTTCTTATCATTGTATATCATATGTGCTCATGGACTATGCAAAAAAATATGAGTGATAATATTATATTGGGATTCGGTAGTATTTTAGAATATACAGCTTATATGCATCAAACAACTCTGTATGAAAAAACTCTAACACCAATAATATTTCCCTTATTGATGCAAATGATAGCATCCAATAGTAAAATAATCAGTTTATTAGGTAATAGAGTTATACAATATTTGATAGATCGAAAAAAAAATAGATTAAATTTTGATACTCCCAAAATTTTTTTTGACAATGTAGACTTTGATTTAAAATTAAGCAATTATTATAAAGAAGACAAAATATTTCTTAAAATTCATCGTGAAATTTTACATGATAGCCTACTTAAGAGTATTTTGAATCATCGTACATCCCGTATGAATTTAGAAACTAGTTATTGCACAATGTGTATCATAGCAATCGAGGTTCCTTGCGGTTTTACAGCTGCAGCATTAGTTTGTTTAACTATGAACTTACAAGACTTAATTTTAAAAGAAAATAATCCTCATAGCATAGCATCATATCATATACATGCTATTGTTATATCAATTATGTCTCTTTTATGTTGGATTCATAAGGCTAAAGTTTTTTATAAATATGTCAATAAAATTATGATGGAGAGAGCGGACTGGGCTCCACACTTAAATCCACCAATTCAGTCTGAATATAATTTTGCAGTACATCATATTTTTTGGTACAAACCAGAGTTATATTTTATTGATTGGGAAACGCGATATTGCTTATGGAAATGTTTTCGTCTTCAAAATTATTGAAATAATAACCTTAAAAATAACATTAAATAAAGTATTATTAATATGTATTATTATATATATCCTTCCTTTTTAAAATATAAGTTTTATATTCGTCTTTTATAAAGACAGTTATTTATATAATGTTAAAAATAGCAATTCTTAAAAACGCACTCGATATCATTTAATGGCAATGAAAATATCAATAATAAATGCTGTTGATTATATGCATTCGTACATGCAAATCTTGAACTATTTTTCAACTTGGTAAATAAGGTTGCTCATACTACTTTAAATAATACTTAGTCTCTTATCTGCACGATATGATTACCCTGACCTGAGAAACCATTTTGGTCATAATAAGAAACATTATTTAACGATAAATTTGATTCAAATTATTAGTTTTCTTGATTTTTCTAAATTTTTGTAATTCATCAATACAGAAATAAATCAAATATGTACGAATCAACTATCGATGAAATTTTAAAAGTGCATTTACCAGACGATGTTTTGCCAGAAATTAATCGTCTTTTGTATGGCCGCAAAATAAAGTAAGATTTAACAAAAATGTATATTTCATTGCTTCAAGAATAATAGGTTATTCATACAAAATATTTATTGTTCTTTCTATATCTTATCATAATTATATACATCAAGTAAAACAATTTTAATATGTTAATAGAAAATTAGATTTAGCAGATTGGAAAAATGACTATAATTTGGAAAGACAAGGTTGGATATTAAATAGTATTGTTGAAGAACAATTACGTCCTAAACGCATTGTACGTGTAGGATTAATCCAACATTCAATCGTCTTACCAACAACAGATCCAATAGAAAATCAAAGAAATGCAATACATAATAAAATAAAAGAATATATTGATTATGCAGCTACTTGCAAAGTTAATATAATTTGTCTACAAGAAGCTTGGCGTATGTTTTTATATATATATATATATATATGAGATAAAAATTTACATCATAATAATTTTTATAAAATGATACTTGTATTATAGCTATGCCATTTGTATTTTGTACAAGAGAAAGATATCCATGGTGTGAATTCGCTGAAGATGCTGAAAATGGGCCAACAAATTTATTATTATCAAAATTAGCAAAAGAACATAATATGATTATTATTTCTCCAATTTTGGAAAGAGATAGTGCTAATGGAGATACTTTGTGGAATACATCTGTTATTATTAATATAGATGGTAAAATTATTGGAAAACATCGAAAAAATCATATACCACGTGTTGGAGATTTCAATGAATCTACGTATTATATGGAAGGAAATACAGGACATCCTGTTTTTGATACTTGTTATGGACGCATTGCTGTTAATATATGTTATGGACGTCATCATCCTTTAAACTGGCTTATGTTTGGATTAAATGGAGCAGAGGTAAATATATTGTAATTTTCTTCTTTCTGGAATTTAAACTAAACGAATTTAAATTATGTTTAGATTGTCTTCAATCCATCAGCCACTGTTGGTAATTTATCTGAACCTTTATGGCCTATAGAAGCAAGATGTGCTGCAATTGCTAATAATTATTTTACGTGTGCCATCAATAGAGTTGGGACTGAAATATTTCCCAACAAATTTACGTCGGGTGATGGAAAGCCATCTCATAATGATTTTGGGCAGTTTTATGGTTCCTCTTATATTACTGCACCTGATGGCACACGGACCCCAGGTTTAAGTAGATCTAATGATGGATTGCTTATTGCAGATTTGGATCTTAATCTTTGCAGACAAGCAAAAGATATGTGGGGATTTAGAGTAAGTTTTTTTTTATTTTATTTTAATTTTTTTTTTGCTTTTTTCCTTTTTTTTTAGAAATAAGTACAAATATTTCCATATACGAACTACATCAAAAATGTCGAATATATGTAATGTTCAATGAGTATAAATCATTTATAAAGAATTAATACTTAATATATTTTTTTAGATGACCCAACGACTGGACATGTATGCTAATGAACTTGCTAAATTCGTTCAACAAAATTGAATATTGTTACATAAATTATATGTTTCATTTTATTAATCTTATATGTAAATATCAAATAAAATATAAAAACGAATGAAATATATTTAAGCCAGAAAGCATAAATATACATATACATATATATATATACATATATACATATACATATATATATACATATATATATACATATATACATATACATATATATATACATATATACATATACATATATATATATATATATATATATACACATATATATACTTATAAAATTATATAATCATTAAAGGTATTTTTTAAGAATGAGTCATAATCAATGTATTATAGAGTGAATTGAACTAACTATATAACAAATTGAAATAACTATAAATTGCAAAACTATGTAAGATGAATGAATTAGATGTTTGATCCTGCGTTTAATGTAGTATTATGTGTCTGTTTTCGGTAATGCAAAGCTTCTTGATAGGCCTTTTTTACCGCTTTCCTATCAGCAGGTTTACGCGACTCTATTAATTTAGATTCATCAAGTTCTTGGGATACACCCAATTTTTCTAGTTTTTCACCTGGTAACCATTGCCTGCATTAAAATGAAAAATATACACATAATGATATTGACAGAATAAATATATTATATTATTAAGTTTGTTTTTACCATGTACGTTTCGTATCGAAGAAAAGAACAAGGAAAACTGGTTCTTTGTAATTATTAGCTAGTACCAATACATCATCAGGAGGGGCTGGAATAGGTACACCTTTATGTATCGTACCACGAGGTGTATTAGGGTCTATAATTAAAGCTGGATACCAAGGATATCCACGACATTTAGCCCATACAAGCTGTAAAGCTTCTAACTTTCCACTATTTCCTGATTTTTCGTTAGGTTCTTTATTGGTTTCATTTGTATTTAATCTCTGTTTTTCTTCTTCTGGATCTGGTGTAGCAGATCTGCTTGTTGAACAACTACTACAACTTGATGATTGACTCTCTCCTTCACCGGCATCACTGTCCATTGTTCCGCTTCTGTAAATTTAATTAACTTTCTGTAGAGAAATTTAGTTAAAAAATATTAATTTCTATATACCTTTTCATAGATATAATTCATATCAAATTATTTACCTATACACTTTGAAACTGTCACTTTGTTTCTTCTGATTATTTTCTGGAAGAAACATTTGTCCACTTCTGCTAGCACGTGCTTTGGCTTTACGGGTAAACAGTACAGCTGTTCTTCGATTGACACCACCTGCACCAACTTCTTTTTCTCCTGTATTTAATTCCGTTTCATTGCGATTACGATTAGATCTTTCTCTTTTTCTAGATTTCGAAGCACTTTGCTCTGTTTGACAAAGAGTATTAAGTTCTGGATAATCTTTACAAGCTTGTTCTATGAGTAAACCACCTTGCTCTTTCATTTTCAATCCTGCTTTGTAAAACATGGTATCCTTACGATTATAAGCCAAACAGTTATTGACCATTAAATTGAAATCTGTTTCAAAAGCTCCAATAGTGTCATATTCCTGCTTCTCGATTTTAATCTATAATATATAAAATTGTTAAAAAAAAAAAAAAAAAAAAAAAAAAAAAAAAAAAAAAAAAAAAAAAAAAAAAAATTAAATAAATAAATAAATATATACATATACAATTACCTGCATTGTAGAAAGATCCATTGGATGTGAAACTATATCAAGATAATCAGGAACTTCTTTAGTATTAACTGGTTGACCAAATACATCATTGACATCTCTTAATTTAATAGCTTCTAATAATGTAAGCAAAATACTTTCCAAAGGTCGTAACTGAAACCATAAGCACTTTTCTTTCCTATAATATATACATATTATTTCAAATGGTTCTTCAATAGGTATTCTTAAAAAAGTAATATAAAAAATACCTACACTTTGAATAATTCTTTCTTCAGCTTTTCTCGTTTTCGTACTAATTCACATAGCAATCGAGCACGTTCTAAATCCTGTCGTAAACATTGCCAATACTTAAGTTGACGATAAAGTTCTCCGCGTAATTCACTATCTGGAGACGGCGAGCAATTACCTCCTAATGGAGGAGGCCTTGATTGTGGATGTGAACTTTGCAATCTTCTAAGGAGAGGTACACCATTTCTATATTGACGTTTCAGCGTCCAGTATGCTATAAGACGTTGAATCAACTGACTTCTCTTTGGGAGACCTTCTGCTAAACTAATTAATGTTTTCTAGATTACTATACATTCACAATTATATTTCATGAACTATAGCTTTTCCCTGGATGCTAAAGTAAAAAATGAAAAACCACAATATATTTTACCTAGCAATTTCTTTTATACGCTCAGGTGGTATTGTGGGTATGGATATAACTGGTGCAGATGAACTCTTTTTATTAGCAATTGCTCTTCGTCTTGCATCAGCAGGATTTGTAGAAGGCTGATAATCTGCTGGTGTATGTGTTTCACAATATGCTGTTTTCTGAACTAGCATTGGTTCTCCATTAGCAGGTTGTACTGTTCTCATACGCATACAAAGACCAGCTTGTTGTGCACAAGTAACATGAAATGCTGCATAACAGTTAGTTTTATGACACTGAATACATGCACCTGCACCTCTACGTTTACAAACACAACAAGTAAGCCTCCAACGAGCTGCAGGAATACTTTCTACGCTGTCTATTGGTTCTAGGAAAACTGTATTAGCAAATCTTACTTCTGGTATCCACAATGCACATACTACATGAGCCCACGTAGCTGGACGATCAGTCTGTTTGAAAGCACCACCTCTATTTGGACACAACACACAATCGACGGCTCTAGATGGACTTTGTAAACATCTTCTACATAACCACTGTCCTTCAGGAATATATGGTACACCATAGCAATCTTGATGAACAGCAAGATTGCACATATCACAAAACAAAATAGCATTACTATTCTGACATTCTCCATCCATACATATACAACATACTGCATCCTCATCAGCGGCAATACCAACTCCACCATTACTTTCTTGCTGAAAATAAGATTCCTTTTCTAATCTATCCATTAATAATTCAAATATATCTGGTTCTAATGGAGGTAAAAGTCCTGAGGCTATTCGTCGTTCATTAACTATAGATAACCATGCAGTATCTTCCTCA